ATCAATGTAATGAAACAAGCTATATGAATGAATGAATGGTTGAATGTGAAGCTGATGATGTGCCCTGTAAACTTTCACTCAATCCAAAATAAAAACATTTAATTAAAAAAAAAAAATTAAGTTACACTGCAACACTAAAATCCTTGTAGTTTTTGGTTACTTTTTATATAACATCTAAGTATAGAAAGGGTTGGCTGGCCATTTGAAAATCTGGAAGCTAACAAAGAATTTTAAAAGATGCCAATAACAATGCATCTTTTAAAGGCAAACTTCCATTATTCCTAGTTTGGGTTCTCATTAAAGTTTAGGTTCTCATTAAAGGTTTCTATTAAGTACCTTTAACTAATGGATACAATAACCCCTTCAAAACAGAAAATGAAACCAGTATGCACATGGATGTAAGCAGGTATGTTTTACCACAGCGCAACGGAAAACAAATGGAAGAGAGCACAGTTGATTTTTGTTCTTCTCAAATGTAGAGAACAATAAAGCACCAGGATCTTACACCTGACTACTAAGCCAAGGTTTTATCCACCCACATTTAGCTAGTTAAATTTAAACTGCCACTCCAAGTCGTCAGAAGCATGCTTTACAGAGCCTATTTACTCGATTAATAGAAAAACAAAATGTTAGAAGATTCTTCTGTTGTGTTAAGTTGCTGTTGAATCACTTCTAACTCATAGCATCAGTGTATAGTAGGGATTAATGCTTTTGTTGGTGAGTGCTGTAGAGTTGGTTCTTACTAGAGCAACCCTGTATAGGGTTTCCACAGAGCAGCTAGTGAGTTTGACCCAGCGACATTGTGGTTCAAACCGATCTTGCAGTCCTCCAGTGCTTTAACCCACAGCAGGGTGGGGAACCCTTTTTCTACAAACAGCCATTTTCGCTAACCACGCAACTTCAAAATTAGCCAGCTATAATGTGATGGCTGGAAATGCGGTTGCCTTGGCAGGGCCAGACCAAATGGTCTCTCAGGCCTTATACGACCTGAGGGCCGGATGTTCCCCACCCCTGCTGTATAGGGTTTCTGAGAAGTGGCTGTTGGGTTTGAACCGCCAACTCAATCCTCTAGTGCCACACCAGGTCTCCTAGAAGATTATTATTAAGTGCCATTAAATCGATTCCGACCCATAGCAACCCTATATAGGATTTCCGAGAAGCAGCTGGTGAGCTTGAACCTCCGACCCTAAAGTTCAAATGGCTTTGCAGTCTGGTACATTAACCCACAGTGCCATACAGAAGCATATTATTTCAAGGGGAAAAAAAAAAAAATCACTGAAAAAAATAAAAACTGTAGATATGTACCCTATAGTACAAAGAGAGAAGTTCATAGTCTATACATCCATTCCTGATTTGATGACAAGGTTAAGTTCCAAAGTTCAGGTCGCTATGTGAAAGCTGATGTATGCAAACATGGAGGCCAACCACATCAGATCACAACCTGGAGGCCGAGTCCATAGTCACAGACTGTTACACCACTGAGAACCATGGCCCCGCCAAGCTGACAAACAACCTTCACCATTACAGCCAGCACTACTCTCACCTCATACCTCAATGCTCCTTACACCAGATGTCTATCATTAACGGGCAAAACGGTCAGAGAGCGGACTGTTTCCTATTGTCGTAAATGTGAAACGTCAGATAATAAGATGGTTGATAAGTGAAGAGTAGGTATGTTGGACAAGGATAAAGGAAGGAAAACAGGTAGGTTTTCTTGGCTCGATGAAAAAGAACACAAGAGCGTGGAGAAAAGACCCAGAAGGCTTGCTACTGGTGAGCTGGGAAGAGGAGTTTGACAGTATTTGGTTAACTGACTAAAGTTCCAAACAATGATACATGATGGGTTTCTAAGGCAGTTGGGCAAATGAACCATGCAGCAAATACAGAGGGAGAGAAGAGAGCCATTCACCTAAAAGAATGCTGAAGTCAGCTTGGCTTTAACGCAGACATTTTCCAGGGGACCCAGCCAAGGCCCACGAATAGATTTGCCAAAGCTCACACACTAAGGCATCTCTCTAACACCAGTTTAGGTTCTTTCTATATTATCGATTTGAAGGAATAATGGAATCTTTAAGCATCCCAATAAATAAACTGAATTTATTTTTTAAATGTTGTTTAAATGTTGTGTGCCCTCAATTTGATCCCACCTCATAGTGACCCTAAGAACAAAACAGAACTACCCATAGGGTTTTCTAGGATGCAACCTTAAAGCAGGAGCCCTGGTGGGCAGTGATTAAGAGCTTGGATACAAACTGAAAGGTCAGTGGTTTGAACCCACCAGCAACAGCATTTACAGCCGTGGAAAGCCTTGGGGCAGTTCTACTCTGTACTGTAGGGTTGCTAGGAGTTGGAATCCACTCAAAGGCAACAAGTTTGCTTTGCATTTTGTTTAATCTTTGTGGGAAGAGCTCTCCAGGTCTTTTCTCTTACATAGCCCCTGGGGTTTTGGTTAGTAGCTGAGGCTTAACCATGGGGCCACCATGGCACTTTAAGCTTTAAATATGTACTATTCATCTTGAGCCATTCAAAACCATTTGTAGAGACCGAAAATGATCTCCCAAGAGATGTTACACCAAATACCACAAATCAAACAAAATAACATTTTCTTCATAAACTCTAAGGCGTGAACAGCTAATCTTGGAAAAAGGATCGATCCTCCCTTTATAACTGATGCCAAATTTCCATTAAATGCATTCCTACAAGCACTTCTCTACTGACTCTAAATAAAATTATTCAGCAATTAAACATTTGCTTTGAACTGCTAGTTTAAATTCTGTTAAGATTAATAACAAATATATTAACTTAAATTTTGAATTAAAAAATTTGTATTTAAAATGTAATATGTATAAAATATATACAAATCAGAGTTCTGCTCTGATTAAGAGATATTCTAAGGAGAAAATTTCAAATTAAAATTTAATTTTCAAGTTAGAAAAAAAAAAGAAGTTAGAGGCCATTTGGTTTGTTGCCTGGTTTTAACCATCATGGTAGAGCTGTTACCAACATTTGTGTGCAATTTTACACAAACACAAGTTTTTATTTCTATGAGACAAATGCCCAACACTGCAATCGCTGTGTTGTATAGTAAGTTCCTGGTGTAGTGCTGTAGGATAAGCACAGGACTACTAACTGTGTAAGGCTGGCAGTTCAAATCTATGAGCCACTCCTCGGGAACTCTATATACTGCAGGGGTGGAGAACCACTTGTCTGCAAAATTTATAACATCATTCGTGGAACCAGGAACTATCAGCTGATCTCAACTGATACACCTTGCCAAAATGTTCATTTATATTTAAGGTTTCATAAAACAAACAGAAATGAGTCGTAACAATACTGTAATTCTAACCCCATCAAAATCAAGTATAATGTATGAAATTTATCCATCTCCAAAAGGCTAATGAAAAACTTCCCCCAGCTTTAAAAAATGCATTCGTAGTTCTCCTCAGCTAATTCCCGGCAGTCAAAGGAAAGGGTCCTCATGATCAATGTACCATATTCCTGATCACCAAATGCCCTTTTTTGAATGTATCTG